CCCCCCCCCCCCCCCCCCCCCCCCACACACACACTCTTTTAATTGTCAATTGCATGAATAATATTTTTATTTAATTAACCATTCAATTAGATAAGAGGTAATAAATATTTAAAATTAATTAGGTAAAAACTTGAAGAAGATAAATAAACAAATGTCTCTCTTTCAAACATTACTTAATTAGGTGAAAAATGATCAAGTGAAAAGAGAGAAGACTAATTGAAGAGATGTTAAAGGTAATTTTGAAAAAATAGTTTAAATTATTGAAAAATTTAATGCTCTTAAATAAATTAACTAATTTTCTTAAAGGGTTCAATTTAGTTGAAATAATCTTATAATTAGGGACAAAAGTAATAAATTTTAAAGAAGAGTTGTTTTTTATTAAAAAAATATTATTATTTTTAAAATCAGTTTAGAAAATTACTTATTGGACTAGTTTATTTAAAATATTAAAAAAAGTGATTAACAACAAGTGATTTTTTTTAAAAAAGTAGGCAGAAGTTGTTTCTTAAAACAATAGAAAATTGTTTTATCCTTAAAAATCAATTTAGACAAATACATAAAAAAATATAAAAAATTAAAAAAAGTTAAACAAGCCAACTGAATATTTCATTAAAAACTATTTTAAAGAAAACCTTAAGCAAGCATGTCTATATCTAGTTTTCAAACGTTCGAACTCCGAACAATAGTCTTTCAAACACTTGTATAAGACTTGGTAGTGCACACAACGTTCAGGCCTTTGTGACCCTATGCGTGTGTGTATGTTTGGCAAAATTTGTAACTTTAGTTAGCTTGTCACGAACGCAATGTACATGTTTAGCAAAAAAAAATAAAAAATCATTCCATTGAGTAGTATGAATCATTCAATCGAACTTTAGTTGAAACGAAAATTAGATGATTGTTATTTTTATTTATTTACTTTTTATTTTTAAAGTTGGTTTGAAAAGTTAAGTTCTTGTTAACTTAACTTTCTAACTATAATCTAAACATACACTACTTGTCCAAAGCATGATGTGGTACTGTTCTTGTTATCGAGCCACGTTTAGTTTTGACTTTTTGTCAAGTCAGTTATTTAGCTTCCTAGAATGTAAGAACTTGTTATTAACATCTGATTTGTTAATTAATTTTACTTTTATCTAGTGATTTCATTTTCCTTGTTATTATGTTATTATTTGGAATTGGTTCTCTATATAAAAAGCAACAACTCATTTGTAATGAGTATCACTTTAGTAATTAAAGAGCTAGCTCTTCCTTCATATTGTGTTATGTTCTTATTATTTTTACTCTTTAAATAGTTAAGATTGAGTGTAACCAAGGGGAGTGAGAGAGTATAAACCAATAGATTAAGTCCAAGGGAAACCCAAGGAAGCAGTAATTTAAAAACCGGACCGAACCGGCTGGTCGGACAGGTTGGACCGGGAACCGGTGGTCCAGCCGGTCCGAATCCTAAGTTAGATCGGTTATGCAGTCGACCCGTTTCAAACTGGATTGAACCGGTCAATTTTCCGGTTCAACCGGTGAACCGGTGGGTCAATCCGGTTCAACCACTTTTTTCTTTTTTTTTTTTTTAAATTTTTTTAAGGGACCATAAACCACAAAAATAATAATGAAAATTGAATCTCTTAATGGAAAAACAAGGAGTCTTATTATATATAACAATGACTACTTGGTCTAATATATTTTTTTGCAATATATACAACTTAAATAACTTTTATCGTATATTATTAATTTTAAATTATATATTTAATAATATAATATCTATATAAATATTACATATATTATTTTGTGATATTAATTGCTAGCATATTATATATGTACATATTATTTATATTTTTAATTTGTATTAATATACCGTTTAACATGTAATTTTTTATGTATTTTTTTACAAAATAAATAAAAATAATTTTAAATAAGATAGAAAAATTGAAATTTAAAATAAGATATGAATTTATTAAAATTTATAAGTATAAAATATGTTTAATATGAATATTTTTTAATAAAAATAAATAAAAATCAAGTCATGCGGTTCAACAAATGACTCACCGGTTCAATCTTTGACCCACTGACCCAGTACTTTAACCGGTTCGATGACCGGTCCGGTAAAACTATGCAAGGAAGTGTGGTAGAGATCCTTTTCTTTTTATTTGCTTTTTGCAGCGACTGAAAATTAATGACATCTAAAAATTTAGTTCAGCCCTCAATTCCATGCTTTGATGGTCACTACCATCATTGGAGCATATTGATGAATTTTTTTTATTGAGATCTAAGGAATACCAGCATGTTGTTGAATCTAGAGTAGCAAAACCAATGGTTGGAGTCGTGTTGTCATCAACACAATAGGTTGAACTAGATGAATTAAAGCTGAAGGATAAGACTAATTTTATTTTTTTTTTAAGTTGGATAAAACATTTTGGGAACATCGTCTCATTTGATGACAACTCAAAAGTTCAATTCATGGGAAAAGGGAGTGTCCAAATAAATGCAAAAGGAAATGCTAAGTAAGTTATTTCTAATGTTCTCTTTGTTCCAAATTTGAAAACTAACTTTAGCGCAATAGGCATTTGAAATTTGTTGCCCATAAAATATACTTAAGACAAATATATTTTACTGTAATAATAATAATAATAATGAACAGAGTGTAAATACTGAATTCAAATAATTAGATTTAAACAATTATCAACTTGATCTTTGTTTTTAACAGTTTGAAAGGATACAAATTGATTTGAGAGAATATGAAATAAATTAGCTATTTGGAAATTAAAACTAAAAAGAGATTGGTTAAGATTCAAACATTAAAAACCTTATAGTTGTGATTTTTGTCCTCGATCCCTTGGATGGATTTTACTAATTATAAAATCTTTATTGCCAATTTATTTATAAAATTGTTAATAATTCTTGATCTAGAAAGTCAATAGTATTTACCTTAGAAAAACCTTAAATTGATTATAATAGATTTATTTATAAAATAAAACATAGAAACATAAAATTAAATTAATAAATTAATTTAATATTGAATTAAGAAAACAAATTTGATCATGTAAATTTCCAAAATTCAATTATTTCAGGGTTTTATTAATTAAAAGAGTTTAATCATGTACTTTTAATTAACCGAGATAAGAATATAAAACACTAAAATAATATGACAATTAAGAAAAATAATTCATTCAATTCATTATTAGGAATTTACAAGAAACAATTACACCACAATTCTAAATCAAGAAGACCAGCTAGAAAAGATAGGTGAATAACCCAACATGATTCTAAAATTCATTAAACATAGGAAGAGAACTGTCTAAAATGGGAAGAATCATTCTTTAAGGATTTGGCTTTTAGTCTCTTACAAAATCCCAATCAACAAAAAATAGAAGAGAGAGAAATAAAAAATGAACCTGAAACTAAAAATTAGGTGATTACAATCTACTTTTGACACTTTTATTTATAATTAAAATTAGAACAATCTTACAAGAACAATCATGCTTCTAAGCATGGGGATCATAGTTTTAAAAACCGGACCGGTCATCGAACCGGTTAAGGTATTGGGTCAGTGGGTCAAAGGTTGAACCGGTGGGTCATTGGTTGAACCGCATGACTCGATTTTTATTTATTTTTATTAAAAAATATTCATATTAAATATATTTATACTTATAAATTTTAATAAATTCATATCTTATTTTAAATTTAAATTTTTTTATCTTATTTAAAATTATTTTTATTTTTATTTTGTAAAAAAATACATAAAAAAATTACATGTTAAACGGTATATTAATACAAATTAAAAATATAAATAATATGTACATATATAATATGCTTGCAATTAATATCACAAAATAATATATGTAATATTTACATAGATATTGCATTATTAAATATATAATTTAAAATTAATAATATACTATAAAAGTTATTTAAGTTGTATATATTGCAAACAAATATATTAGAACAAGTAGTCATTGTTATATTTAATAAGACTCCTTGCTTTTTCATTAAGAGATTCAATTTTCATTATTATTTTTGTGATTTATGGTCCCTTAAAAAAAAAAAAAAAAAAAAAAAAAAAAAAGTGGTTGAACCGGTTTGACCCACCGGTTCACCGGTTGAACCGGAAAATTGACCGGTTCAATCCGGTTTGAAACGGGTCGACTGCATAACTGATCCAACTTCAGATTCGGACTGACTGGACCACCGGTTCCCGATCAAACCGGTCCGACCGGCCGGGTCGGTCCGGGTTTTAAAACACTGATGGGGATGCATGTTCTAACTCAGGGTGTGTTTTATCCGAGCA